GTCTCCTCCACCCACCAGCTCCCACACCGGCAGCAGCACCGCCGCCGCCCACCTTCTGCCGCCGCCACCACAGACACTTGCTCCTCGGCTTTCCTCTGCTGTCCTCGCCCTCTGTCTACAATCAGGTAGGCGCAAGGCTCTAAATTGTGCCTCCCCGTCCGACCCCTGCGCCCGCATACCGCCGCCTCAGAGATGGGTTTCATGAGGTGGACATTGGTGGGGGGCAACGGTGGGGGCCACTCCCTGTGCTCTCTTCCTTCGGGAGCTAGGTCTGGGGTGGCTTGGAAAGGGACCCATGCAAGGGATGCACACGTGCGTATAAGTGTGTATGTGTGTGCACAGGTGTGTGCATGTGTGCGCAGGTTGCGCGTGTGTGTGCGGGTGTGTGCATGTGTGTGTACGGTGTGTGCTGGGGGTTCCACACGACCTGCTTCGCGCGGACCCGGGCAGAGGTTGTGCCCGAAGGGTGGGGCGCGGATGGCGGTGACCTGGGGGAGGGGGCTGCCATGCTCTCTGGATCGCTGCCTTTTGCCGCAATGGGCGTGTGTCTATATGTGTGTGTGTCGGGGGGGGGGCCAATGACGACCCCCCGAAACCAAACCTGTAATCCGTTTTCTCTGACTCGGACTGCCATCGGCTCTGAGGAAGATATGGATCGGGTTCTAGAAGAGATGACTCCCCGCCTGCCCCTCCCTTCACCTCCCCGGCAGCGATTCCAATGGGGCTTTCGCTGCCCCTGATTTAAGGCTGTGGTCCACCCCCTCCCCGTTTTCCTCCTTCAGAAAACCGCTGGGGACATTTGGGGGCTGGGAGTGGAATCGGGGAGATGGGGAGGGGTCCGGGCGCTGTCACTTTAGTTGCCCTTCCCCCTGCGCGCGCCTGGAGCCGAGACGCGAGCAGCGCCGTGCCCGAGAGAAGGTGGCGCTCGGATGCCAATGTGGAGGCTCCGAATGGCAGGGGTCACCTGGCCTTGTGCTAGGGAAGGTCTCGGCCGCAGCCGGTCCGGCTCG